TGGTGCTTTTATAATTAAACATTAGTCAAAGAAATTATATATTATAGATATGAAAATTTTAAGCTATCAATAATTAAATAAATACAAGATTTAATCAAAACGACCCGTATAAAAAAGACCATTGCTAGTTAAGTATGATGAATTTACCCCAGACTAAATTATCAGGGCTGATAAGAAGATTAAGATGGACTGCATAACAGTGAATTTAACGTTTTCTAAAATTTTTTTTAATAGTTTTTCATTGTTCGTTATAGGTACATATATAATTATTTTGGTAGTTAAATGTAGCTATTTTTGGCACATTTGTTAATTTTTTGGATTTTCCCATTGTTATTTGACTTACAACTTATTTCGTATTGAACGAATGAAGGTAGGTACCGCTCAAATTCTGAATTATGCTTTTTAGATGTATACGGATTTATAATTTAAAAAAAGAAAAAATGGTACCTTGTTTAAAATATTAAATACATATGAAAATCGTAAAAGAAAAATAGAAAACAAAATGGCAAATATGGCAAGTTTGATCATCAAAATAATTGTATTTAATATGTTATGAATTATTAGTATAAGTAAAACGAACTATAAAAAAATTAAAAAACACTGGAAAACTTAGTAAAGTCATTGTTAAGGGGACATATTTATATTTTTATCGACCCTAGTTCTTTAGTTTGATAATATTACAAGTTATCCTTGTTGTTACTAATAACAACATCCAATATTACACCTGAATAAGAAATCATTTAAAATAAAACTTTCCAAGCGTTATTTTCGAAAATTCGAAGACGGCTTCATATTATTTACAATTATTTATTTTTTACAAAGGTGACTTACAATAAAAATATGAAACTAGATTTGGCTAACGTAAGGCTGGATTTCTGTCTCCTAATAGTAAGGTAAATTGACCATTCTTACTTGACAAGGGCTTTTGCTATTTTTTTGAAGAATCGATCATATCACTGATATTTTAAATATATCTATATACATTGGCAAGTTATATAATATATAATAGTTACACCTACACTAATGTTAACAATAAAAAATAAATAGAACTTACTAATTTCTTTTCCATTTTGGCTTTAATATCCCTAGCTAACGTGAAAAAAGCATCTTCAACTCGAATACTGGCCTTAGCACTAGTTTCAATGAATTTAATACCATATTCAACAGCAAGCTGTTCACCTCTTTCTCTGGAAACTTGTCTTTTTTCTTCAAGTTCACATTTATTACCCAATAGCATCTTCTCTACATCAGCAGATGCATTTTCCTCAATGTTTCTTATCCAGTTTTTGATATTTTCAAAACTTTTTTCATTAGTTATATCATATACTAACATTATCCCCATTGCACCCCTGTAGTAAGCAGTTGTTATAGTTCGAAATCTTTCTTGTCCTGCAGTATCCCTTCAAGTTAAAAAAATTCAATAATATCCTACATTATTTACTGAAAGAAGAGTACAAACCATATTTGTAGTTTTATTTTCTTCCCATCTAAATCTATTGTCCTTATTTTGAAATCTATGCCTAAAATGACAAAATTTAATGTGAGTTTTGACCTTCTGATCTTTAATATTTATGTTGTTGTTTATCATTCCTTACATACTTTATCTTTTACTGATATATTATAGGCACAATAACGTAACTGTTCTTATTTC